AAGACTGATAATGTTTATTGTCATACTACTACTATAAACACTATATATAATATTAGTTGGCATTTGTACTTTAAAAACTTCTAAGTTCATTGTTATTAATATGTCCAATGTTTATCAAGCAGCTCTTCAAACTTCTAGCTTTCATTTGAATGAATTCATTTTATGAATTTATCATAAGTATCAAAATTCAATTTTCTTACATCTGCTATTTACTATCTGCAAAATAAAACCCATGAATTTGAGTATGGTCCAGACCATTAAATCTTAATCCCTTCAGCATGAAGTTTCATCCTCAAGTAATGTGTAGATGCCAAGAATGGAGCAATGGAGATTTTCCAGAGTTTAAATAGTATCACTGGAAAGGAGGCATTGGTTACAAAAGACAAAATGAAAACAAGGAATAAAGAAAGAAATAAAGGAAGAAAGTATGGCATTATGTAATTTTATACATTTTATACTTTTGGATCCTGAATGAGTTAAAAGCCAATGGAGAGTTCCCAAAAATTCTCACATAAAATTATTGTTACCCAGCAAATTTGGTTTGGTTTGTTTTACGGCATAACAACCTCAATGGGTTATTTAATGCCAACAAAAATTTTTATTGCTGGTAATATGTTTTTCTTCAAAGATCTGTTGCTGGTAATATTTTTTTTTAAAGTATTGCTGATAATAATTTTTTCCTCCAAAAATTTATTGCTGGTCATAATTTATTTTACAAAGTATTTCTGGTATTAAAACCTATTTTTACACTTTCATAGTGTTTTGACCCCAGTTTGGGTGCTAAATATAGCTGGGACCCTAACAGGTACTACCATCCTGGGTCAGGGTGGACCTGGGAACACTAGACATTGAGAGGTGGTTCCACACTCCTCAAAACCTCCTGATCAGAAGCCTTACTGTTGGACGTAGTTTATTGTCTTACCCTGGACGCGGATGTAGTTTATCGTCATACCCAGGTCAGACGAGCAAAGTTGATAAAACAATTTGGAATTATATACTTCATAGCCTCTTCAAAGCTATTAATGCTAATTAATGTTGTTATTAGCTAGAGGTACATTATATATGAAGGTTGAAAAATTTTCAGACAAGCCAATAAGTCCTTAAGAAAAAAAAAATGTTTGGTCAGGCCTGGGGAAGTGGGTTGATCTGATAATTTTTAGTTCCCCCACCTAATGTATGAAGCAAAAACAAAAAAATTGAGAATTGTAAAGAGAATCATGTGATGCAAACATACAAGGGCAAACAGTTTTTTGTTTTTTTTTTTTTATCCACAGCGAGTCCTTTCTAAAAAACACAAAATACATTTGTCTAGAAAACTGTAATAAAAAGGATTTTTATCTAATTGCAACAAAAAGAACCTGTTGGTTTCCATATTAAAAAAAAAAAAAACAAACAAAAAAAAACAAAAAAAACAAACTGTAACCATTGCCCCAGGTATAAATTCATAAACAAAGAGGGATTGTTTTGTGGCTGAGATGGTTTCAGATTTCCCACCAGGGTTTCATGTTCAATGCTAATCAATACAATTTTTCTAACACCCCTACTTGACTTTGTGTCAAACTAAGTTAAACTTGGTAATTGTTTTTACATGAAAAGACAGTCTTATCTGATAAATCTTCCCAGTTTGGTTTTGTGCTGAAATAATCAAGAGGTAGTTTATTATTTAGGGTTAAAATTTGTTTATTGATGTTTTATTTTTAAAATATGTACAACTGAAAATTTATTTCCACTCGGTACAAAACAAATCTTTATTATCAATAAATGAATAAAATATAGAATAATTTACCACTTATTGCCACATTTTAATTTTACCAAATTTTATATTTTTTTTAAAATATAATATTTGAAAAATAACAGTATAAAAATAAATTACTGACATTAGTGTAGTAAGAACCTCTATCAGTCATATTTTGCACACCAGATATTGGATTACCACCTTTGGATTGCTTTACAGAGCCTCATATTTTGAGTTCATTTATCTCATAAATAAAAAATGAAATCTTAAAAGAAATAGGAGTTTGTGGAACTTATTTTTCATTTTTTTTTTTTTTTTTTTTTTTAATCCAAGTAAGGTATTTGTTATGGGATAAACATTTTGGAAACTAAATTGGAAACCTCTAAAATTTTGCTTGAAAAAAATCATGGTTACAGACATGCATGCCTCTAGCCAGATTTGAACTTAGGCCTCAATAACATCATGCATGTCTTCAGTGTTCTTGTGACAAAGTTACTTAGAGGATTGAATGGAGCACTGTAGTGTTTAATGACTTCATGCAAGTGATGGTTATTTGTATGTGCAATATAGATCTGGGAAGTGATGTCTCCTAGTGTGTATTCATCTATGATACATAGGCTCTAACCTCAGACATTATGAGTGCCATAAGTTACAACACTCAATCAGAGAGGGAACATTTTACTTATGTCTAGAACACTTCTGTGCTATTCATGACAGACCTGTTAAAAAAATGTGGGACAGTTAGCAGGTTTTCCAGTTTATTTAATGAATAAAATTTCCTGATAATTTCCCAGAAAAGATTAACTGAAATTTCCTGATATGGGGACATTGTGTAAAAGATAGACATAAGTATCTTAGTTCTTAAGTTAATGATTAAGTAAGCTCATGGCAAGTTCTTCAACAATAAAATATCCATGGAAATTCCCCTATTGCATTGTTAAATATTTGAGATTAACAACTTTAAGAAAATATTTCAATAACAATCATCAATATGAATGCTGGCCATTATTTTAAGAAGTAAGGGAGTACAAATGAAAAGATGTGTAATTAACAAATTCTTCGTTTTCACTGAAACAGATGTTAAACAATTCTATCTTTCATTTTCCAAATAGCACCTTTCATGTCTTTTGTCATCTCATGCAATCAAAATGGAATAGTCCATTATTTATTCATTTCTTTCACTGAAACTACCTAGCGTCTCTGATATGACTTGTTTTTCCACACGATCAAAATGGAATAGTCCATTATTTATGAGGTATAGGCAGGGTGTAACGGTCGTGTGAACTAACAATGAGAGGGAACAAGCACAATTATGATAGGATCCTAGAAAGCAAATATATCATAACATTTACAATTTAGTGCATTTGTTTTAAAACAATTTTCAATCTAAAAATAAATTATTATAACAAACATGCCATTTTATGTCTGTCAAGTTGCATTAGAAAATTCCCTGATATTAAAACAAAAATTCCTAAATTGATTATTTTCAGTTTCCTGATTTCCAGGATGGCAGTAAATCAACAGATACAAAAAGTCGTCAATTAAATTTGCCACCTGTATGATTGTACGTAAGACTTAGAGTATATAGCAAGTACAAGTGTTAACACAACAGTAACACCAATGTTTTAATGAAAATAAGTAATGCGTAATGTTGATATACTTATTTTGGAGCCTAAATCTGTATTTTACTAACCAATTATTACCTGTTGTACACATTTTTTAGTCTCTATTGAAGCACATGGGTTGCAGAAAAGTTTTTTTTAGCCTGACCCACTTATCAAAATCTGACTAAATGGCTTCAATTTAGAAAAAAAAAAATTTAAGGACTTCGTGGTTAGAATTTTTCAGTGATTCTCCATCACACCTTGGAATAAAAATTTTAAAATAAATTATTTTTCGCTTAAAATTTTAAAATATTCTTTCTTTACAAAGCAGATTTAACAATTTTATGTTCATAATTGCAGATTTTTGTTTGAAAGAATTTTTTTCATTCATAAATTAATAATTCGAAAAATAAACAAGTTTTTTACATTTAAAAATTTTTTGTGTTTTTTCATTCTTTCGACGTTGTTGTTTTGCTAATAATTGAATTTTCTATCTCTTTTGATTCCAGATTCTTTATACACCGTGTGCAAATAATAATTATATTTTTAAACAGTTATTTCAAAAGCAATAACCAATTCCATAGCCAGTGTCCATTACAAAAATGGCGGTTTTAAAGGTCATAAAAGATATGTATACTATCAATTAAAAAAAATATTGGATTTCAGTTTGAGTTAAAAAAAAAAACCGTATGTCAGGTATAAAACTAAAGAGTCTTCTTGAATAATAATAATTTCAATTTAAGCAGGCTATATTTGGCGCGTAGAAAAATACAAAAAGTTTTCAAACATGAACAAATTTAAAAACGTTTTTTTTTTTCTCATTCATATTGAATTGATCATTTACAAAAATTGAATCGGGTATGGTTTTTATAAATTAAAGATTTATTATCAGGTTGTATTTCAATAAACGTGATGGTTTTCGAGCTTAATATTTTTAATTAATTGAAGTGGATGGTTCGATCAACTGATGTCCCATTACCTTGTGCCAGACTAAGCTAAGCTCAATAAATAAATAACCATATTCCAAGTAAACTTCTCATAAATTTGCTTTATGCAGTGCTTATTATTTGTCCGGTTTATGGCAAAGACGTTTATTTTCTGATTTGGTTGCTGCGCGATTAAACTTAAAGGCACGTGGTGATTTATTTTGTATTTTCTACACCGAAAACGAAAAGTGTCCTCCTTGTGCGTAGGAGTTTTTACATTTTTTTTTTTTTTTTTTCGTCATAAAAACTCAATTTTCAATTTAATGAATTACAAAGAGAAAACTAAAACAAAATAGTTAAAAAATATTTAATAATGCAACTGATGCTTCCAATATTTGAAATTTATTAAATAAATTTGAAGAAAGACATGAATATCAAAACTGAAAGTTCGTATCCATAAAGTAAAAAACACATCGCAAAAAGTTGATTCAACATTTAAAAAATTAGTTTTTTTCTTAAAGACGAAAAACAAAGGAACCAATCTAAAAGAATAATTAAACTTAATCTATGACAGGTACATATTAAAAATCTTTATTTTAAAAATGGGCTTTAGCTTTTTAATTCATGCCGTACTGTGTACACTAATACTACAAAAACAATGGTGATGACAATAGCTAAGAAACAGACAAGTGAATGATGACAAATAAATAAATAATAATAATCAAAATTACTTACTCTGCAATAAGCTGGGCAAGGACAGGGTGTGAATTTCCTGCCAAAACCATCATCGGACATTTCAAGCCCAAAGCAGCCATGCTTGTGGATCGAGACACAACAACCTCTTGTGAAGCCATCCTAGGGATGAGGAGGAGCTTTTTATTTCATACACACATTCATGTAACTTGCCTCCACAGATTTACCTGCCACAAGATTAATTAGCGAAAGCTTAGCTTAAATCAGAAAAAGCAGGTAAGGAGAAAGATTATATGTAAACCAATATAAATTAAACAAAAATGTTAGCAAGATTCCCGGGAAAGGCAATCAACTAACCAAGGCACTGCTACCGGATATGACGTTTCAGCTACTTGCACGGCATGGCTACCAATATTTTTTAAAATATTTTTTTTATTAACTATTGTTATTGTTATTATCTACACGCTTCAGAAACAGACTCTTAAATAAATCAGTAACAGCTATTTAATCATTTATTTCAACTTAATTTACATTTTTCAACTTCAACATGATTTGTAACTAACAATAACATATTTTTATGAATATTCTACCCGGTTTATTTATTTAAAAAAAAAAACGAAAAATTCTGGTGACTGGTGATCCGTTGCTCAAATAGTACCTCCCCATTTGCATAAAGATCTGCTTTTTTTTACTTATATGTAAAAGATAAAAGTACATAAATACCTCTAGTGAGCTGTTCTTCAGATAACACTCTCCTATATTACACTTGGGTCTTCTTTTATATGCGCTATGCACTGTGTCCCTTCACGATGTAGGCGATCATGGCTCTCCATTTCCTCCTGTCCCTTGTAGCCCTCAATAAGCTTTAACTTTTTGTTATTTCTCCCAGATCCTGTTCTGCCATCCACTTGCTTAAGCCTGTTTAGTATGTCATGTGTTGCTTTCACTTTTTCCTCTATCCACCCTCTGAGTATCAGATTTTCCAAGTCCTCCTTTCTCCTTACGTGGTCCCAGAAATTTCAGCTGCCTGTTCCTGATGTTAAGTATGAGTTACCTTTTTGTCTGCATTCTCTCCAAAATCTCATCATGCTCACATGTTCGGTCCATGGTATCCTTAGCATCCTTCTGTAGAATCACACCTCTGTTGTTGCCTCGAGTCTCTTCTTTATCTCCGAGGAGACCTGCCAACATTCACTGCTATATATATATATATATATACAGGGTGGCCTGATGATTGCGTCTAGCATGAAACAGACTGTCACTTCTAAGTGTTGACTTCTATGTTCAATTTTAAATTTACACACGCTCTATCTCTGATATTGAGCACATTGTTCCATAAATATATTCACATATATATATATATATATATATATATATATACACATTATATATACACACATATATATATACATATATACATTATATATACACACATATATATATATATATATACATATATACACATTATATATACACACATATATATATATACATATATACATTATATATATATATATATATACACATTATATATACACACATATATATATACATATATATATATATACACACACACACACACATTATCTATACATATATAAAAGGCAGAATGTGTGTGTTTGTTTATATGTTTGCTCGGATCTCCTACATTTTTTAACCAAATTTGACACAGTTACTGCTAATGGTCCTCTGGAGGTTTTGACAGCACCAAAAATTGATTTAAATCAATATTATCAGTTTTTCATTTTTGATCGGATGTCCATGTGTGTAATTATGTGCGTTCACTGCACACAAGCAGATATGGGCACTTTTCATGTCAGAATTAATAGTGGTAGCATAATTAGAAAAAAGTCAGGTTTATGGGAATAAGAAAGGACAAGAATGGCCATATTTGGTTTCGGATGCAAAAGTTATCACAATGAAGGATTTCTGTAGCAGCCGAACTTTGTGCTCCAAAAGCCAATTAGATTAGTGTTATTAGTCATGCGTGTCTCACGCAATACGTAATGCTTGCTGCTGATTGGCCCATTCACGCTCCTGGGTCATGTAAGATCATGTGTGAGAGGTGGGGTTCACCCGTGCGCACATCAAACATCCCAAATGGGGTAGAGGTTTCAGGTAGCCTACTTTTATTTCAGGATTTCACACTCATACCATGGTTTTTAAAAAGCATCCTTTAATGTTTCAATGCAGGCATGCATTACTTTCCATGTTTTCTACATTTGCACAGTAAACGTCAAGGCCATTTTAAAAGGGATTTACAGAGCCACATGTCAAATTTTACCAGAAAAATCTGTAAAAATAGGGTGAAACTGCTGCTTTTTAGGTCTTTGTAGCCCATTTAGCCTACTAAAGCATAGGATTGAATTCAGTGAGCATTCACTAACACATTTCATGCCACTTTACGCCACCACTTTTAAGCCAATGGGGCAGAATTGGCTCCCCCCAATTGTCCAATTTTTCACATTTGATTGCATTTTTTCATTCAAGGGGACACCGGGAGACTGTTATGCCTTTTCATGCCATTTACGTGTAGCAAAAGGCACCTACTCGCTATAATTTTACTACAGTGCATTGCTGCCCCAAAAAGTTCTCGCCCGTTTTCATCTAAATTCGTGCTACTTAAATGCCTTCATCATCCATCAGTAAACAAAATTAACATTGCTTCAAATTTTGTTTGTAAGAAGTGTAAAAACGCTTGTATTTTCAACTTTTGATCAATAAAACTACCTCATATCTCCTTATAGCTGCTCAAAATTTTCAAAGAAAAATGAAGCTTGAAAATCCCATTTTCTGATTGGCTGACTTTGAGAGACTGTGCTATATTGGTAATGATATAAATCAAAAAGGCAATGCCTATTTTGGGATAAGGAACTACATAGCTTTCATATTTATCAATAAAAAACCCAACACAATAAAGACGCCAGATACTATTTTGAAACGTCATCTGCCACTGTGCACTGCTTTGACTAACCCAGCTGGAGGTTAACCAATCATGTCAACTGTTCAAGGTTGCTGTGAGCTCATTGGCACGGTTGCAAGCATTTAACCATGAGCCCATCCAATCATATGCATGAGCAGTTCTATTACGTACACGTGTGCACGTGCATACATACGTCACCTTAGTATGTGCGTTCAAGGTCAACTGGCCAACTGCCTCTATATACAATAACTCGCATGTGTGTTCATACTTTTGTGATTACTGTCCCACACTTGGCTCACTTCATTCACTTCTTACGGAAACCACAAGTTGTTGATTATGTATCCAAACTGTTTTTTTTACTTCTTAATTATACCTACATCCATTTCCACATTTATCGAATTTACTTCCCAAATTACCTACTACCGTTTTAGCTTTAGTTGAATTTTTTAAACTTCATTTTTTTTTGTCTTCGATCCCCTTTTGATACAGTTACATACATTTTTGGGATCCTTCTAACCTGCCTACATTTAGACTACACATATTTTTTTCACTCAAAAAACCTACATACGTTTTATTATGTTTGCCTTTTTAAAATTGGTTAAAATGCCGCCTAAGAGAAGAAAACGTTTTGGATGGCACACAGCTGCTGCCTCCGCTACAAGAGCAGCAAGTGCAAGTGAAACCATAGAGCAAACTTCATTGTGACTTTCTCAGATGGCCTCATGCTCTGCTGCCCACATCTCCATGGAAAGTACTGCTGAACAGACTGAAAGGCTGGCATCAGTGGCATCAGTTATGTCATTACAACGCACTAGACTTTCAACTGAAGAGTGATTAGTACAGAATTCACAGGACGCAATATGCATTTCTAGGGCTAGGGCTTCCGAGTCCCCAACACAGACAACCCTTCAGCGTTTAAGGAATGCCATCGCTACAGCAGGTTCTAGAGCTTCAGAAAGCCCTGGGTTATGGCAAGCACAGCTCAACAACAATGGCCAAATCACAAGAACAGACGCTCAGTGTTGCAGGTCTGCATTTAGGTGAACAGTGTTTTGTCCATTGACAACTTTGTGTAGGCTGCTCCCAAGTCGGGAATAAGGATAACGTTTACGTTTACTCTCCAACAAACAAAGCTATTACCTACACAGAAGTCCTATAGCCCATGGTCAGTCACATTTAAACGCAATGTACACATCTTTATGTCAGCTGCATCATAGGTTCCTTCATTTTTGAACCCGGTTTATTTAAAGGTCATCGTAGTATCTACTTGCCATTACAAAGGCATTTCATTAAAGGTTGTTTTGCTCACCAGATGCTCCCTTATCACTTAAACCCCACCATAGCTGCATTTGTACTTACATGTTGACCACGTAACCATATTCAGTTGTAACACAAAATCAATACGTGGGAAGGTGGATTTGTTTAATTGCTAGAGAAGGCGAGTGCGTCCATGCAATTCAAGCCTCAGCAAAAAGAAGTGGGATAATAAAAGAATAGCAGCATGCAGAGTTATATGCATTCTCTGCTGTACACCATTGGCGTATTTCTCCCCTTACCATAAGGACTGCTTTAGGTAACGCTATGTGTGCTTCATGCTCACCTCAACTGGTTATTAAAAACTAAAAAAAAATTTGTGCCGCTTACAAGTACTTACCCCGGCACCTTCCCATAGTTCTGTTATGTCGTTCTGTTTGCAGTAGTTGCAGTGCCATCTTTTGGGCAAAAGATGCGTCTACCTTTCATGCTATTGTGTTTTAATATGTTGCAACTGACACAGGGCTTCATGTAATGTCTTGCACTCAGTGACAATAAAACTATCCCATCGGAATACAAAGCCATCTGCCACAACTCACCAAAAACTTCCTAAGGCCTGTGTTCGTATTGAACTTGACAACTTTTAATTGGAGGTGTCTTAGTAATGGCAAACTGCTGATGCTACCATGGTTGTCCATTGCTTCCTTTTAAGCCTTACAATTTTTTCTTCTGTTGTGCTGATGAATACCGACAACTTGTGTACATTACGTTTTTTATGTGAGTGGCCATCATTTCTACTAGACTTCAGCTTTACATGCATGTACAAAATGAGTATGGTGGGTATGACCTTCTATTCAAAGGAAGTTTACTTCTGGGCAGCACCGGGCTTTACTGCTAGTATAAATATATATATACACATATATACATTTTATATATATATATATATATATATACTTCCTTTTGTGTCTCTCTATCTATTCTATG